CGGCTGCTGTGCTCTCAGGTTTTTGTCTCCTGTTCCTGAGCCTGTTGGTGTTCAGCTGATAGAGGTGTGTTATGATTCTATCTTTGGTTTATGCAGCCATGTTGATTATCCTCCTCTGCAACTAGCCTGAAAATATCAATGGGTGTCGGGGGTAGAGTTCTTCAGAAGTTGAACGTCGGCAACTCTTACCCGTGAAGTTCAGAACCATCGCTGGGCTCTGGACTTGTGATGTGAGATTCCCCCCCGGCTGAAAGCTCCCAATAATAAAACCACATCTAGTTTGAACATCAAAGCTCCTTGGGTGCCTTCCTTGTGTCTCTTGCCCTGAGTCCCGGTGACTCCCCACTGCATTGCTACACAGAAGTTTCCCTTACAATAGCTACAATAGGGCTGCTCGATTATGGCAAAAATCATAATGTCGATTATTTGGGTCAATAATTGATATCACGATTATTAAAAACGATTATCCATTTACTTTGAAAACATCAATTTATTGGAGAAATCTTTTTTGAACAGTATGTTTTTAACAGCAATAACCAAAAATAATTAATAATAAAAAATAATCGTTTTATTTCAATTACGTTGTTTTCGTAATCGTTGCAAGCCATAATCGTAATTGCGATTAAAATACGATTAATTGAGCAGCCCTAAGCTACAGTATGTGATTAACATGACGATTCAGCCTCTATGGAGATAGACATATGACAAGCATGACCATTTCTGACGTGGACCTTATAGCTAATCTGAACAAAACATTGTATACTGCTTTGAACCGGTATTCCTGCATCTTGTGACTGAGTAACACCCTCTCTTGTATATCAGCATCTGAAGGACACTGTTCGGGGAACTAGTTGTACCATATGCTCTGTATGTGATGACTATGCACTCTTGCAAGGATAATGAATACATGTATCCTGATATTGAAGCTCAAGCCGGTGACGAGTGATATTTTTCTAACAACAACCATGTGGAGTTTGTTTGGTATTCTCATGCTCTAAAGTAGGAAAGCAAAGACAAGATAGAGAGCGGGAGAAAGACTGGATGGCAGAGGAATGGAGTTGGTAGTAACTAAAAGAAACTAAGCATGCTTTAGGCTAGTGACAACCTCAAACTTCTTCAATTGCAAGCCGCTGGCGTGCCTAGTCTGAACTGCCTGCAACTTGTACCAAGACACACAACTGGAGAACGGGTGAGCTCCATTAATGGCTTCAAACTCAGTCTGTCTGCAGGGGGAGGAACAGATTATCCGACTCTGTCCTCAGAGTCCAGTCCAACCACAGAGGGACTGTCTAGGTTCAATCTGCCCCTTTCAGCACTTGGGAGAAATCCCCGAGCGGGTGAGAGTACATCTTCCCCGCAGCCCTCCCCCGAGCAGCTTCCTCCTGCCACCAGCGGCCATCAGTCAGTCACAGATCCCGCCTCCTGCCCGTGTCTCTAATCGCCCACGCACACTGTCACAGTCGCCTGCCCTTCCAGTTAAACACAGACAGCCAAACAAAATCAATCTTTACTGAGTGTCCGTGTTTAATAAGGCCCTGTTGTTTCTTATGGACTCTGACAACATGATCAGCCCCCGCACACACACACACACACACACACACACACACACACACACACACACACACACACGAACGAGAAAGTAAAACGTGGCCACGTTTTATTTATTTTTCTCTCTATGAACCCTCCAGGTCTCCGTAGAAATGTAAAACATGTTTTTGACAATCTTTATTTAGCATATTCTGGAAATTCTCTTGTTCCCATATGTCTTTTGTTTTTGGTTAACTTCTTAGATTAGGTTTGGCTGTGTTCTCAATACAAGGGAATTCAAGAGGTGGTCGCTGAGGTTGTTTGAGTCCGCTACAGCGTATGACTTCTGTTGGGAAAATACTGAATGTACTCTTTCAAGGACATTTGCACATGATAACGAAGTGTATAACAGTGAATATGGCAAGATGTATGACTACCTAGTAAGAGAAACATGACAAACTTTTTCAGACAAATGATAAGCTATGTGACAACGGTTAACATGATGATTCAGCTTCTAGGTAAATATGCATAGGACAAGCATGAACATCTTTGATGTGGCCTTTAGCTAATCTGAACATAACATTGTATACTGCTTTGAACCGGTATTCCTCAATTTTAGCCGCTTTCACACCAAGTACTTTGCCGTACTAGGTTCCCAGAACTTAGTTCCCAGCACTTAGTCCTCCCATGGAACAAAGGGCAGATCGAGGAATAAGATTACGCAAATGAAGCCGCTGACGTCACTTCTTCTTCTTCTGCTTTGGGTTTACTGGCAGGTCGCAAACAACTTCACGGCCAGAGATGGGGTCGTTACATTTTTTTTTTTAATATATTACATATTACTTTAATTTTTTTTTTATATATTACACTACTTCGTTACTCTCTACATAAAGTAATTTGTTACTTTACTCGTTACTTTAGTCGTTACTTTACTCGCCGAGCACGTACGAACTGTTCGTACGTGCTCGGCGAGTAAAGTAACGACTAAAGTAACGAGTAAAGTAACAAATTACTTTATGTAGAGAGTAACGAAGTAGTGTAATATATAAAAANTTCAAACGGGATCAAAAGATACGTTTTCTCTCTCCATTGAATTCAATGTATAATTTTTCGCTTCCGGGGTCCCATGGACCGGAAGTAGATGGGCGTGACTTCGCCTCTATCCATGGTTTATATCACGTAGTCAGTTCTTCTTCTCTGTCTTCCGGTTGTTGTCTGTTTTGAATGACAAATACACACTACCGCCGCCTGCTGGTAAGGAGCGTTATTGCCACTCACGCATGCGCAGTTCGTACGTGCTCGGCGAGTAAAGTAACGAGTAAAGTAACGAGTTACTTTATGTTGATAGTAACGAAGTAGTGTAATACATTACTTTTTTTTTTAAGTAATATGTAATATATTACATTT